GTCATCGTCGTTGTCATCGTCGTTGTCATCGTCGTTGTCGTTGATAATGTTGTCATCATCGTCAATGGTGTCGAAGAAAGACGTCGTAGGAAAAGGCCGAAAAACGTCATCATTAAAAACATCGACGTAAATGAGAAAGAAAACGTCCGGGTTAACCAGTAAAAGCCGGTACAAACTGGACACACGTTGATTTTGGCGACGCAACGCCAACAACTATCACAGTTATACCGGTTGAACCTTAGTTGTTACTTTAGCACGATGACGCCTACGTCAAATCATTTAAGTGTCTGTTGGACTGTCTCTTCTACCAGATGACGAATCTCTACTTATTTCTTCTTCCTTTTCCTCTTCCTCTTATATTCCGTTTGTGTTCTCTCTCATTGGGATTTCATCGCAATAATCTCTAGTCAAATGCTTCATTAAAGTATCCCTTAATTTGTCTCTTCTAACAAATGGCGAAACTCGAATTTTCTTCTTCTTTTTGTATTCTCTTTTACCGGGATTACGTCGTAATAATATATGTAGTCAAAGGCATGTGACGTGAGGGTCAAGATTTTGAGATGCTTTTTTTGAACATCTAATTGACAATTTACTCGTTCATTTGTATACGAATACTTTAGCATTGATTTGTGTGTATGTGTATATGTATGTGCGTGCGGAAAGAAAATATCGCGTAGGCCAACTATTAATAACTTTTTCAACGCAAACACCGCGACTCTGGCAGCACGAATTTAACTGATAACCGTCTCGGTCCTCGATTCGTAAATTCCAAAGCGCAGGCTTGGCACCAGATGAATGTAGGTTGCTGGAACGCGAAATACACCAGAGATGGACTACTTGTTTCCCTATTCCTATTTCTTTGATATCGAATGAACAGATGGATCGTGGTCGTCAAGAATCGATTGGATAAAAACTAGGTTTGACGATTGATTAAACGAACCGAGAAAGAATCAACTTCTTTTTCCAAGCTTTAATCTTAGATCGACTTTAAGATATCTTTTTTGTTAAGAAAAAATGGTTGAGATCTGTTGAAAAGTTTTGCCAATGATTACATTAACGAAATTAAAAATGAAAATGCAGGATAAAACAGCAGGAGGATCGATTATTCTTGATATATATATGTGTGCGTGTGTGTGTCTGTGTGTTTGTGTGAATCTGTGACTTATATATACCTGCTTACATAGACAGAAATTACGAGCAACCTTAGCCGCTGCAGTCTCAGAGAGCAGTGCCGAATATATAAACGATACAGATCAACTGACAAGGTGACCCAATTCTCCCAGACAACAAGCAACGTATATTATACTTTAGTGAAAGAAGAAAAAAAACAAATACAGTTTGATAAATACTTTTATTATTTTTCACTACATTTCCTATTCCGTAAAACAAAGAAGTCTAGACAGATTTGATTTTATAATTGCACCTGCATGCGTAATAAATATTAAATCTTCCCAAAAGTTTCATTCCTTTTTTTCATTATAATAAATAAAATAAATAATATACAGATACTTTTAATAAATATTAAACAAATATTAATAAAATGATCTAGCCCATCTTTTGCAATAAAATAATTAAACATTCAATTAGAAACTAAAGAAATAAAAAAATAAAAGAAGAATATTAGAATGAAGCTTGGCAGATGGATGTTAAATTAGGAGAACGAAAAAGGAATGAATTTCAAGAAATCCGTGTCGTATCTTTTCAGATTAAATCCTATATAGTTTTTTCAAGTATGTATACGTAAATAAATGAGTAAATAGGTGTATATATACATGTATACACATGCACCTATTTTCCATTGTCGCACGCGTTCTGCATTTGGCTACGATCGTGAAACAAGCTTCCCAAGTACAGCGACCCTAATTTAGATTCGACCGTTAAAAATAGGAGGATGTCGGTCTTCTTCGCCAACATAGATCTTCCCTGCTAAATTCATTTCGAGTACGAAATCTTCTTTCTCTCTTTCCATCTATTCCTCTTTTTCCTATTTTACCTTTCCTTT